ATTAACAGTATTTCTTACCTTGGGAGAACGCTGGAAGAACAATGAACAAAATAGTTGAATATTTTTTCCGCTACTAGAATCTTTTCTTAAATTTATCTTCTCTTTATTTCTCTACTTTCACTAGACGAAAGCATGAAAATATCAAAATGCTCTAATTTTCATACGGCAACGCATTATAAAAAAGAATTTTTTATTAATAAAGAATGTTGTTATTAATAAAGAATTTTTTTATTATAAAGAAAATTGAAACCGACAATTTAAAGGCTTTGATCTAGAAAATGTTGGTTGAGGCTGATAGGTAGGAATAAAACACGCAGAAACTAGTGAGAAATTGTTTTGTGTATGAGAATGAATTTAATGTTAGAAAGGACTTAAGAGAAGAAATCGATATAAATTAGCAAAAAGTTGGGAAGTCTTAAATTCAAAAGACGCAAAATATTTGTTGAGTGTTGCTGTACAAAAAAAATGTTTTCTAGCTTTTAATGTGTATTATCTAATGTTTAGAATCAATGTCATAAAATTACATGTATTTTAAATGTTAAATTATTAGATTGTGATTTTAATAGGGCTGTTTAAAATATTGTTAAAAGGAAATAAAATTTAATAGTGGCCATATAAATCCATAATAACGAAGGTATCTAATACCTAATTTAATTACTTAACTAACTGCTTGCCCTTAAAAAATATATCTGCATATTAAAAAGAGTTATTGCCTTTCATTAACCATTGCCGTGGTCACAAGATAAAACACAAAAATGTAAAAATTCTTGTAAAACTTATTCTTCGATCTAGTGAGACTTAACATAATGCAAAACAACCTATCACTTCTGGTGCTTTAGTGGATTATTAGAATCTTAAAGTATATTAACCGAGTTACAACCCTTGGAACTCTACACGAAGCTACAACACTAACTGTGTCAGACAGAGCCCAGCTAACTTTCAAAACTTGCCAACCGTGCTTACATCAGGCCTTTCAGGTTTTTTGATTAGCAGGTCACTCTCTAGGCAGGCAAGAGCGGTGACAACGGCCAGTCTTTTGTTTTGAATCATGCCGATTAGGATTTTACTTCTCATTTTAACCTGTGCCGCTTGACATAAAATCTACTCACTATTTACTAAACCTCTAGAGTGAGCAAGTACGTGACAAAGTGAGATTTAAAAAAAAATCAAAACAAAGCTAATTGTTAGTAAAACCTAAATAAAATGTCACTTATCTTCTTTCAAATATGTCCAATTATTATAAGTATAAACTATTTAATGTTAGTTAATAAATTTCATAAAGTTTACTTTATTCTCAAACTTCATAATTATGTTAATTATGTTTAATAATAATGCATCCTACTTACGGTTTTTATTTTTAGGATGGTATTACAAAAGTGAAGTTCAGGCATAGATAATATTTTTTAATTGAATTACTGAGTTCTCATTTGATCATAGGTCCTTAATTTTTCCATTAATCGTCCTTAAAAGCATTTAATTTCCGTATGCAGAAATGTGTACGAGCCCTGGTAATATTCGCTAAACAACTGGGTGGGGCACATTTACGGTAAGAAAACCTCTCGCGTGCTAATATCCGGACGATTTTCCATTCTTTGCAAAAATGTCCTTTAAAATTTTTGGCATCCGCACACTCCTGCCCCACTTTGTATCTTGCATGCCGATGATGAAAGATCCCGGTTCACACCACACCGATGCAATCACTCCCAACATTTTTCAGTCTGGCACGTTCTCCTCCGGAAATGTTGCCTGTACAATCTTTCGGCTTCAAGGGCATTCCCATTCGCAAATCTATACCTAAAATGCATACAAAAACTCGAGCTTTATCCTTCCCATTTCAGCGCTGTCTAGCGGTTCACCGCTTGCTCTCCGCCCATCGAAAATTGCTCGTTTAGATATTTTCTATCCCCCTTAAATTTTTGCTCAAGAGTTTCGAAACATCCTATATAATGTAAATAATAAACTACAAGTATAAACAGTGGTCTTATCTGTAAATTTATGAATTTTAATTATCGATTCAGTATTTGATTTGTTGCATGTTATTTATTGAAATTGTTGTCTTAGTATTGCATCGATTTGCCTTGGTTGTAAGTATGCCTTCCTGTCCAGAGAATGTACTGCCCGGGATGTGTGATCATGGGATTATTCCATTTTGGCAAAGCATACGAGGGTTATCTGCCTAAAGGGAGGGGTGCCTTCGTAGAGGACTTTCTAAGGAAAACTGGTTCGTATACACGTTAAACATGAGGAAAACCACGACGAAAACGCCCATGCAGCCAGCCCGTTTGCGGGATTCGAACCTCGGACCGAACTACCAGTGCTCAGCGTCTTTACCGCTCGGCCGCTGGTGGGCCGTGTGGTCATTGGGAAGGGGCAAAATTAAGAATTTTGTATATATGCAAATAATTTTAGTGAAATTATATTGAATTTGTAGCAACTTTAGTATAATTTAACATGAAATGCTTAAAAAGGCGGGGCTCTCCGTTTTCCCGCTGTCTCCAGATACAGGTACACATAAAATCAAGTGTCCAAGCTGAATGTCGACTCATCTGTAAAAAGCACGGAGCTCTACTGAAACCTGGTCCAAGGAAGATGTCAGCACCATCTAAACGCGCTCTCTTCCGTGCTGCAATGAGCTGGACGGGAACAGCGGGGATTCCGGCATACAGCCCTATCACATGAAGCCTTCGGACAACTGTAGACCGTGAAAGTGTTTGAATTGGCAACATACAGCTCACGTGAGAGCTGTGAAGCTATAGCAATCTTACGTCGCCGCACGGAAAGTGAACAAATGATCCCCATTTGTCCTTATTAAATCTCGACTTCTTCAAGTTGACTATTTTTGTGTTCTGAAACTATTTCCACAAATTGCAGACGACACTGGGCTTAACGTTGAGCTCTGCAGCCAGCTTGCGATTGGTCTGCCTGCACAACAATTCTCCATCTCATTCAATCATTCGTTTATGTTCTTGGCTACTCATTTTACCATATACCTTACAAAATTTACCGAACTCTTGAGAGAAACACGGCGAATGTCGTGAAGGAATACGAACATACACATCACCGAAAATTCCTTGTGCCCTTTAAGATCAACTCCACATACATGCATGTGCACGCTTACGTATTCGATTTTGAATATCTGCATACTTCTTCAGCCTTATACTTAATACCTTCGGGTTAATACTTTTTGTAAAAATACATAATTTTCAAGTTCGCTTAATTTTGCACGCGCGTGTATACGAGATTTTTTTTATTAACAAATGTAAGTACTTCCAAAAAAAGGAAAGCAAACGGTATGCAAGTCCACTGAAATTTGAATTTAAACTGCATTTTTCCATACTTGGTATTCCATTGTTATCCCACTAGTATTCATTTTGGTATCAAAATGATTTAATACATTCTCCGAACTTTATTAGTTCCCTTTCCAATTTTATAGGTGCTTTTCAGGCATCGATCAGATGCGGTTCAAAAGTTAGTTGGAATGTAAGAGTATGCTCTTCAGAATACGGGATTCTAGCCATGTATTCAATTAAGGAATCTAAAACAGCTACATAATTATTGTAGCTTTTGTGCTTATGTTTCTACTTAAAATTTTTGATAGAAGCGGGAAAGTTCCAAGAACTTCAAAGTTCTAAAGATTCATCCAAGGAAGAGTATTTTGAAATACGTCACCTTTCAAAAGAATATTTTTTGTAACATATATATAGGTTTTGTTTTACCTTGCAGGGAAATACTTAAATCATTTCATTGTGTCATACCTGATAAAAACACACAGTTTATACAAAATTATTTGACAATTCCTTATTTTCCTTGAACCTAAAAATGTTAAAATTTGTTTTCCTAAAGTTAAAACTTAATTGAAAATAATAATTTATAAAAATGCTAAAAGCATTTTTATAAAGAGCTATATTTTCAATTTTTGTAGCTCTGCTTGTTGAGATTCTCCTAATTTAGCACATACATGGTCCTTTAAGTTAAATTATTTGTATTGGGCACTTTCAAACTAATACTATACAATAAATACCATTTCATGTTTCAAAGAAATAAACACCATTTTAAATTTTACAGAAATCAAGAAAAATGCAGAAACTCGGGTCCCCGTATTAAATGTTTTCTACGCATAACTTTTAGAAATAATGAACGGTTAACTTATTAAATTTTAAGTTAGGAAAAACTTAAGCACAGGTGATTAGTTGAATGACAAATCATTGCGTATTGCTACATTCAACTGCAGTGTGTCGTGGCTACGAGCAAACGTAGATACCGAGAAGAGAATAAAACATGGCTAGGCCGTCACTTCCGCTGAGAGCCTATAAAATCAGCATCACATCTAACTAAACAGCGCAACGAAAGTAGCATTTCAGGAAATCGAACTGTCCAGGATTTCTAAATGATTAACTTGCGTGAAAACCAGTTCTTTGCCGAGTTTTAGCGAAACTAGTCTCAAATGCTAGACGCGATAACCCCATTACAGTGCGTTATTATATTTTTTTTTTTTTTTTTTTCCGGGGGGTGGTCTTAACTTTTGAACTTCCTATGCATCGTCTCATGAGAGAATTTTAAAGAACGGGTTAAAGCCGCACAAAATCGTAGAAAGGACCGCTTGGGAGCTTAAAGTCTGAGGTTTTTCCTATCCTGGTACAGACCGACAAAATGAGGATTTGAATCAGATACCTAAAATATGCATTTAAATCTGCTCAGACTTTACAGAACCTTCTATATTGAACTTAATTTAAAAAATGTTAACGTCCTTTAATATCCAACAAATATAACGATTTTAGTACACAAAATGCTTTAACCTTCTGTATTTTTATGCATGGCAGACCGATTTTGAGAAACTGAGCTATGTGCTTAAAAAGGGCGTGGAATATCATTAAAATTTTTTAAAAAGTCACGACACATTTAAAATTTATGTTTCAGTTTCTGAACAGTGTTATCTTTGGAAATTCACAATGTATTTACTTTAAATTTTAGATTAACTGGAGGAAAGAACAAAACATTGCTGCAATTATTTTGCTTTATTGCCAGTCAGGTTAGAAATTTCACAATTCACAAGAAAAACATTAAAATTTCACAAAAAAAAGCAGTACAATATGAACAAACTGACAGAATAAATAAATAGCACGGTTTACATACAGGTATCAAATTCAAAGAATTAAGCTATGTTATTTGTATAAAAACGTATCCCTGATGTAATCTGAAGCTACAAAATTGGGCTCATATTTACCAAGCTTCAGTTTTGTACAAAGGAAAATCCAGGAACTGCTTGCTTCAACAAAGGACTACTTGAATGCATCCCGTATGGTACGATTAAGACGAAGTAGCTAAAATAATCGTAAGCCAGCACAATTAAAACTTTAAAACAGCAATGAAGAAATTGCAGATTATGTTACATTTCACATTCATTTATCATTAAAATACAAACATTTGAATGATTAAATATCAAAATACATAGAAGATTTTTTAAATATTCAGTTATTTCTCATATTTTTAAATAAAATCTTGCAGAGTCAAAACATTTTTCATAGTTGAACATTTGAAAATTAAACTAAAAAAGTAATTTCAGTTTTTAAGGCATTTCCGAGTTTCGTTTTTGAACGCAGTGATATAAAAAGAAAAAAATCAAATTTTAAGTAAATTAGTCCGATCAGAATTTAAATATATATATATACACGCATAAAAGTGTTGGCAAACTGGTGACGAATTTTTTTACAAACTTAGCAAGAGTCTGACATGCGATCAGAAAGTACATATCATTGACCGAGACTGTACTTTCTTGGAAGTTTACGATAATGCATTCCTCTCGTTTTGGACAAGGGCTGCACCTAGAAGCCGAAACTGTTCAAAACTGCAGTTAACAACCTTTTAAGACCGATTTACTGAGAAATTTACTGTACATATTTCAGACCCTAGTTTCGCGAAATCTGCAACATTTGTATTAAGAATTATAGCTTTTCTTTTTGAGACATCTTTATTTACATTTCTTACTTAAAAAAATTTACTGTGAAAGCTGAAATGAAATTTCAAGTATTTCCCCTCTCATCTTAACCCAGCCTGCTAAATTTAAACAATTATTGACCCTGTAGCATGCAACAACATGCATAACAAATACTTCGGACTTTTCCAACTATAACGTTCATGACATTTTACACATTCATTGTATATTTTTTAAATAGCTAAAATATGTTACCTTTAAGGAAAACAATCTCTGCTTATTTTGCTTATCAGAACTCCCTAGTCTCCGGTAAGCTTCCACCAAGTTCTCATAAACTGGAATTAATTCTCTGCAATATATTCCAAATGCAATTCTGGAAAGTATTAACAGGAAAGCTCTATAAAATGTATGACAGCATTAATATGTCATAAAAACTTTTCGAAATTACTCTTTTATGCATACAGAATGGATTACTTCAGTTAAAAGAATATGTAAATTCAGCTGATCAAGATTTGTACATGATAGGCAATATAGATATTCTTTAAGGCCTTTCACAGAAGACCTAGTTTCTTACAGAATTTGCCTTCAGAAGCCAATTATGTAAGAAAATTAATAATCGCAATTGCAGGTTCAACTCTTGGAATTGACCACATTAGTTTCTTACTTTATTGAGACCAGCTTTCAAGCTGTATGTTGGCTATTTAGTATTTTGCAAGTTTTATGTATAACGCAGTATGAAGCAATTTTCTTCAAAAATACCCTTCTTTAAAGCATTTCTTAAGTCCCTAGTGCTTTGAAAATAACATTTGAGGATTAATTATTTGAAAAGTCAGCGAGTTGCAAAGCCCGTAGTTGTGTAATTTTTTCTCATTTTTCATACAGCCATAAAGGCGTTATTTGCGGTCGAAGCGATCGATAACTTTGTTAGACAAGGGTGACTTTTCGGAAGGTTTCCTAAAAGGAGATAATGCTTATTTAGGCTAAACAAAAACTAACTCCAAGCAGCCATGTTTCGTTTGCCAATGGAAAGATTTTAGATTTTAAATAAATTTGTTAGTTTTTACAAATTTTTCGTTTCCCTGTGATGCATAACATGCAGTTGCCTACTGCATTCCAGTCTCTAAATATCTATGTACTACTAATGCAGTTATTTAAAGATTAGAAAGCAAAATAAACTTATTTAGATAATATTCCTCAATTTTTCGTCGTAATATTTTATTTGTTATTTCGGTACTGACAAGTCCTGACTCAGTTTTAAAATTACAGCAAATCATCCTTTGGGACTCGAAGTTGAACGACAAATTTTGAATTTTACCTTATTGACAAAGTTTCTAGCAATAGAACTAGCTATATAAAAGGAAAATTATAAGCACAATAGCAATTCTTTGAGCTGCCCAGACTTCTCCGGCTGTAATCAGGGAATTACCTAAAAAAAAAATGGAGAAAACTAACAGGTTGGGCATTTTTAGTCTGTCAAATTTTCGATTAGATGCGTACAGCACCATTAAGTTCCAGTTTTCAATTGGGTTGGTATTTTTTTACAAGGTTCAAGCACCTTCACGCTCATTTTCTATACAAGGTTGAAAGACGTTCGTCTGATTAAGTTCTGATAACCAAGAGTATGCAGGGGGGGGGTCAGTATATTTTCCTAATGCACAATAGATCGGATTCGACCTTTGGATAAGGTTTCTAAATTTTGTAGTCATTCAAAATTTACTGTCATTAAATTTACAGGGTCGTATATAAAATATAATCATGCATTAAATAATTTAGTATAATTACATTCAGTACCACGGTTGAAAATATTACAAGGATGATTTAATTTTTCTCAAAGTATAGCTCACTATGACTGATAGCATAAAATATTCAGATAGCTTTTTTTTTTGAAAACGTAGACTCTTACTTCAGTGTGGAGGCAATAACATTCCATGATTCCAATACAGTAGGGTTACCCCAATGCGATTGGACTTATCGCCATTATGTTAAATTACTTAACCACTTTCGTAGAGCCATCACTTTGATCACACGGAGAGAGTGATTTTTCACCAAGCAAAAAAGACAGAAAGAAGTTCGAAGAAGCCAGTTCGAAACCGACCGACAAAGTTCAAACTAATTGTTGTCCGATTTGTAAAGCAAGAGCATGGTACTTAATTAAGCAGCAAGTGTTTGAAATGTAGCGCAAATATGCATGATACGGCGTGCATGCTTTACTCCATGAAAGTGATTCATGTTTTACGCTCCCAAACAGTTTTTTTAACCCAACATCAGTTTAAGGCTGAAATCAGCTAAAGTTTAAATTGACATCGGGCATGGAACAAACTAAAACATTTTAAATTCAGGAGCTAGGAATCAAATCCTCAATGAAATATCAACGCTTCCTGGCTTCAACTAACTCCAGCCATTATCAGCAATTACATTTCGAGGGTTAAGAAAGCAAAATGGTTTAGTTTTAGTTGATGATGGCAAAGCACGGCAGAGATGCCTCATGGAGGACTTTAAGAGAAACTGGCTCATATACATGTTATATATGGAGAAAACACTCATGCAAACAGCCCGTTTGCCTGGAATCGAGCCCAGGTCTAACTACCAGTGTTCAGCGATTTTAACGCTCTGCCGCTAGCGAGCCAAGAAAACAAAATGGAAATAGTAAAACAATTTATGATGTTCTAATGCTTACTGTATGCCTACAACTAGTGCTTCGAGAGTCTGGATGTTATCTTCCAGAGGTCCTATGTAGGCGAAGCATCGCAGAGCCAGAAGACGCAGGCGAAAAATGTTAGTGACCCCAAGAACATTATCTTGATCACGCAGAACTCTGTCTACAGTTTCCTTTGGCACTTCATCCTGGACTATTTTCAGCAAGAAAATTAAAAAATCTAATTATATATGGTATACAGGAACATGGAATGCAATTAACAAAATTAGAAAGATTGGCTCACGTGATTTTAGGTCTATCAAATTAGCTGTGCGCAGGATCTCTTTTGTAGCCACAAGGACTTTAGGGGCCTTTTCTCTATCCAAGACTTTCGTAAGAATAGACGTCTATAAAATAAAGTAGAGCGAGCACATTTATTTGCTACAGAAAAAAAGCAAGACTAATACATTTGATCACTGTATCTTACCATTTTCACTCAAAATGTTTTGTTTAAGTTTAATAATTGATTAGCAATACGAACTGCTTTCATTACACTTTTCATATTAGTAAATTATGAGCACTGGATATTCATATGAAAACAATTACAACAATGATTACAGATGTTTTTAGATGCATAGATAATCCAGATTGGCTTGCAGAGAAATGAGCCTTATCATGGTAAAATGCAATATTCTTATTAGTATTGCTTTTAGAAAGATTAGGTTTAACCCTAAGATCAAGTTACAATCGAAGTTATCAATACCACATATTTTAATCAATGTGTGATATGCATATAGAAACGTTGTTGTAAGTGAATAGTGAAAAATAGTTTTAAGTGACCTTCACGTCAGAAGATATCTGAAAATTTATTTTTGGAATGAACTTGCTGCATCACATCTAATGCTTTAATTAAAACTTCCAATTTAAGCATTCTTATCTGATGATTCTATCGTTGAGTTTTCATTGATCTTGATTTACTAGATCAGAGGGCTTATTTTACAATCAAGCAATTATATTTTACTCCATTCCCTCCATATCCCATGGAATGATAAAACATTTAAGAAAGAGCACTCGGTTTATCGGTCAATTCGATGACCTGAGTAAAAAAAAATCTAAATCTTCCGATCTAATTTAGATAAACGAAAAATATTAAAATAAACCCGAAGACCTTTCTGTGTCACGAATTTAATTTTGCCAGAAGTCAAAACTTCCATAACGGCTGTTAGCACTAAATGATTCATTTCTAAAACGCAAAATTTAAATTCATAAACTACATTTAAACAGAGCTTAAATCTCTGGTTTTGTATTTAACAGTAAATTTTAACGAAAGCTTTTCTAAACAAAACATTACAAAAATGAAATAGAATGCAGAAGAAATGCGTTTCACATGAAATAAGTAGGCAGAAAACTAATGAAGTTCATTCTGTAACTGATTAACATCATCTATGTATCAATAACCAAGCTAGAATAAAGGAAAGATGATAATCAAAAGCACAAGTTATTAAAAGGAGATGCTATTACATTTATACAAATCATGCTGCATAAAAACACATAGGGACAACGCATGGGAGAAACTACCAAGAACAAGTTTAAATACTTACACCGTATGGTAAGATACATTCAGCGCAGGGGCATTCCTTGAAAAACATGTGTGTTGAATAATTTAATACTTTGTCTGAACACAGGTAATAAACCATAGGAAGACAATTATAAGTCACCTGTAATGAAAAATACATTTTAAAAGACATTTAGGTTAAACCTAGCCAAGGCTTATCACTGAAGTATTGTGTCACTGAAAATACAAAGGGATAAGTCTACAAAGTTTCGGAACAAAATCCCCGTGTTACATCATAAAAATATCACTATTAAAGCCTTTTGCATTCTTTCGGATGTTATAGCTTCACGCTCATTTACAGGGATTCTGCGTAGCTTTGTAAAAGTAAGTTCTTTGAACCTTTTTTAGTCCCGTCATTAAACACCCTAAATTTCTGAAAGTATGACCAATTCGGTGCCTTCAAGTTCAGACTTAACTTCAGGGAATAATAGCTGAGGATACATAGTGACACTTGTTTGTGAGCAATAATTAGTTCCCCGAAATTACATTTAAAACAGAAAACTAATGCTTTTTATTGTTCAGTTACCAATTCATAACGGGAAATACTGGCTGTATAAAAAACAATACTGGCTGCATTTATATAGCAAACGTTCTAGAGTAAAAGACAAAAACTCTAGATTTTTTAAAAGAAAACATTCAGTTTTGTTCTCAAAAATCAACTGTCAAAACGTTTAGTAGCATAAACACTGATTATGCGAGATCATATTTAGCTAGTTTGCACACAGCTAAATGCAGAAAATCGCATACAATTGAAGCATTTTTGATGCCTGCAACAAAGGATATAGTTGCATCTGTCCTTGAACAGAAAACGGCTAAAAAATTGACAAAGTATCATTATATCTAATAACACTGTCAAGCAGCGAAGAGATGAGATGGCATCACAGGTTCAAGATATTTTAATCCAAAGATTAAAAGTAAGCCAATTTGGATAATTTTCCTGTTGCGTATAAGGATCTGCAGGAAAACTGAAGTGGTCATTTTATGTAAATTACATCACTAGTATAGAAAATGAAAGGGATCTGGAGAAATTTATAGAAGTTAAACAGCTAATGACTGGTGTAGTTTGAATTTAGAGGATGGTTCAGAAGCACTAATAGATATGCTAAGAGAATCCCCAAGGTTGGTTGGTTGACTTAATACCACAAAACCTTGAAGGCTATTATGCGCCAGACGAATGGTGAATAAAATCCAAAATGCACGACCACACTGTATCAGATGAATTGTTGAAATGAACCTGTAATGCTGATGAAGGCATGGAGAAATGACTTTGAGAAATGCTCTAACAGGTAGTAGGATAAAAAGAAAAAACTTTAAATCATATGGTAAAAAGGAGATGTCTTAAAAATCTTATGAGGTTGATGTGAGGGTTTCTTCCAACGAGATCTGTTAACATTCGTAGAGTTAAAATGATATTCACGTTTCTGACTAAAAGCAGGACAGCAGGTTAAAATGAGATTGATTGAAACGGGAACGTTGCAAGTGCCACAAATAGGCTCATTATCTCCTTTCAAAAGATACTGACGTGTCAGTCTGCAGTGACCAATTCGTAGCGAGTGAGCAGTATATCCTCCTTTCGATTCCCTCTCGACTCCCAATACTCCTAATTGGAGTTTACCTGCCTTAATTTGTTCAGAATCTGGCATTCCCAGAGTTCTTGCCACCTGGACAAGATCTTTGTTCTGATGCAATTCCATATGTCTGTAAAAGGGACATCATTTTCAGAGATAATATCAGCAGATTTTGCCGCGACATCGGCGAGTTCATTGCCTTTGATGCTGCATGTCCAAGCACCCAGCAGTACGTAATAGAATAACCTGCATTTCTAAAACGGAGGTGTGTCTTTAAAATTTCTAAGACCAAAGGGTGGCTAGTATTTGTATTTACTGATTCAAGAGCACTCAGAGAATCAGAGTAGATGATGAACGTTCTATTCTGCCATAGAGAGAAAGATTAAGGCATTCAAAATATGGAAAAAGTTGCCTGCAGTAAAGACAGATGCAGCCTTTATGAAGTTACACCTATTTATTTCTTTATCACAAACAAAAGCTGCCCCAACGTGGATCATTGATTCTTTGAGCCATCAGTAAAAATTGTCTTGTAGTTAGAATAACTACTTCTATGCTCTAGGAAAATTTGTTGGATAATGGACATCATTGGTATTGCTCTTCTTTAGTTCTCCAAAAATTCAAGTTCATCTCCAATTGCTTATACTGATGGATCAAAAATTGAAGAAAAGTTGGTTCCGCAGTCTTTCAAATTACCCCCCTCAAATATCCTCAAATGGAAAGGCCATCTCAATACTAGTGTTTTCCAAGCGGAATTGTCAGCTATAAAGCAGCGATTGATTGAAAGCCATTTACAAAATCTCAACGAATTAGTTAAAATCCGACTCCCAAGCAGCTATTCTAGCTATTAAAAATCCCTTACCTTCCTCTCCATTGATATCCGAACAAATTCTTTTCTTGGCAAAATTCCAAACTACAAAATTCAAATTCATGGATCAAGGACAGTTTGGCCATTTTGGTATGACAGGCAGATGAACTAGCCAAAGAAGCAGCTATTAATCAAGATGGTACTGAAATAATCATTCCGTGCCATCGCTCAAATTTCAAGTACCAACTAAAACAACTTGCTTCAAAATCTTGGCAAGATTTGTGGAACAATGCTCCACAGGGAAGACGCACATATAACTTGATCCCCAATGTAAGCTTCGCATCTCTGAACTCGAATCCTTCACTAAATTACTTAATAATAGGACATGGACCCTTCCCCACATATTTCTACGCAAGAAATTTGGCAAATTCTGATATCTGTACATGTGGGGAACAGGGAACTCCTGATCATTACACTTTCTCATGCCCCTTAACTGAGGATATTCACATAAAACCCCCAAGAACTGATCTCCTGGCATTCCAAAGGTTTTTTAATTAAAGATAAACATCAATATCCAAAGTTTCAGAAAATTATGCAAAGACTCTCTCCCTACGGCCTAGATCTCTGTCAAGTGCAAGTCCACATACAGTTTAAACTTAGTGAACTCTTACATGCTGTGATTATGGACAAAATGGCTCTGCTCGTGAACTTTATAAACTGCAATAAACCAATATATCTGAAATAACCCATGGACACCCACCTCTTCAGCATTATATAACAATTCTTTTAACATTGTGTTGCCGTACTATATTAATTATCTCATTATGTTTATTCGTTTATTAATTATGTTTATCTCCTATTTTTGTTGCACCAAATCAGATGTTCAATTTATCTTGTGAATCGAAAATTGTATTCCGACTATTTTGTAATCTACTTATGCCCTACACCATTATTTTTAATAAATACTGGATGCGGGGCGTACTGTGGAATTTCACGATGTACCATAATAGGCAAACTCTAGACCTTCTGAAAAGCTTCAGTCTATGCAAATTCTTATAAAACTTGCAATTACCCCCCCTTTTTTTTTTCAAAGAGTTAGTATGAGAAGGCATTACCAGTTGACCTACGGTACATCGCTGGTGTCCCCCTTACCTTTATCTCTTCTTAAGTTCTCCAAAATGTTAAGTAGGTGAATATTCACTTCTTGCCAGGGAGCAATACCGAAAAGGTTAAAGCTTTGGGGATGCAGATCTTTTAGGTTTAATTCTTCAATCAGTGAGTGAATGCGAAGATCAAAGGGTGGGAGGATATATGAAGGACGTGCTTGGTAGATACGCCAGTACTGATCAGATGTCACGAGTCGGACGGGATGTTCGGCTTGTGACATTACTTTATAATGATCAATGGACAACTGCTTGCGTCTGAACTCCAGATACGTTTCAAAACAGATGACAAACTTTGGACTGGAAATGTTCTGAAAGTGTGTGTGTGTGTGTGTGTGTGTGTGTGTGTGTGTGTGTGTGTGTGTGTGTGTGTGTGTGTGTGTGTGTGTGTGTGATTATTGTAAAGCTTCGAGGGCTATCTGCCTAATGGGAGGGATGCCTTCGTGGAGGACTTTTTAAGGGAAAATGGCTGGTATACACGTTACACATGGGGAAACCACGAAAACGCCCATGCAGTCAGCCCGTTCGCGGGATTCGAACCTCGGACCGAACTACCACTGTTCAGGAACTTTACCGCTCGGCCGCTGGTGGGCCGGAGATGTTCTGAAAGCTTTACAGCAAATCTGTAGCACTTGATGGTAGACTGGATCCAATTTCAGTAGCACAGGTCTTGCTGATCCATAGATAACATAGCCATAGTCAAGTTTGGAACGGATTAAAGCTCTATAAATGCGGAGCATGGAATAGCGTTCTGCTCCCTATGAAGTACTGGCCAGGAGTTTCGGTATGTTGAGAGCTTTAGCACTTTTTTTTTAACATTTAAGATATGCGGAAGGTTTTTTTTTTTTTTTTTTTTTTTTTTTTTTTTCCCTTTTTTTGGGTTTGGTTTTATTATATTACAACAAAGCACTCGACGGCTCGGCTATCTGCCTTAAGGGAGGGATGCCTTCGAGGAGGTCTTTCTAAGGAAAACCGGCTCATATACACGTTACACATGGGGAAAACCACGAAAACGCCCATGCAGCCAGCCCGCTCGCTCGCGGGATTCGAACCTCGGATCGAACTACCAGTGTTCAGCGACTTTACCGCTCGGCCGCTGGTTGGCGATATGCGGAAGGAAAGTGAGCTTTCTGTCAAATACAACTCCTAAGAATTTTGCTTCTGGCTGAACGCGGATCAAAGAGCCGTCAAGATACAGCTCTGGATCAGGATGCAGATTTCTTTTGTGACAAAAATGCACGCAAACGGTTTTCTGGCTAGAAAATTAAAAACCATTGTTGTTGGACCACTTTATGATTCTGTGTAGAGCAAGCCAGTCCCTTTTAAATAATAAAATAAATTTACAATTGACCCCTCTTCCGATTAAACGGTCGAGAGGGAAGTCACAGATATTAAAATATTTCTGACGAAGATTATTCAAACTTGGACACTCAAATAAAATAGGACGGACAGATAGACAAACATTACAATTTAAACAAATAAATTTAAAAAATAGGCTCATTTTTAGCTTTCAGAAGGTAGTTTATGTGCCACTCTAGTGTGACCAATCCTGAGGCGAGCCAATAGA